TATATATATATATATATATATATATATATATATATAAAGTAAACGAACTTTATGGTTGTGCGGCAGTTAAGCATCAGTGGCATCACTGATGTTGCTGTCTTTGATGATGATGATGATGGTTGTATTTTTTGAGCGGTATACGTGGTGAAAGTGATCGCGTTTACCTTAATGAACAAACGATTTCTCGAGCGGGGCACTTTGGACGGGGATGTCTATCATGATCACAGAAATAACACATTTGAACGGATATTGCGCCGGTAGTTTAGTGGTAGTATGCTCGCCTGCCACGCGGGCAGCCCTGCTTCGATTCCCAGCGGACGCACTTTCCCCGCGGACCATTACTTCGATGATTTTCCGTAGTCTACCGTTACTCTCTATGGCAGTGAAGCATCAGTAGCGCTGATGTCATGCTATTGATGATGATTAAGGGTGCAGTGGTAGGTTCGACACGTGGTTCACGATTCTGTGAAATAGCAGATTAGGATCTACGTCCGTTACTAGTATGATTGCAACTCGAGTTGATATGCTTGGTCCAGAGTGAGTTCGCTGTGTGTTAGAAGTTTCTTGCGGATGGAAGCGGACGCCGGCCGTCAATTATAGCATCACGCACACATTCATATTTACATTCGGTTGCAGATGCTGGTTTGAGCTCAGTCTTTGGCTAATGACTTCAGTTTTCGTACGAACTGATCAATCTCCTGTCCGTTCTCTAGCTGGTAAGACTTAAGGTGGTAATGTGCATGTATAACGTTTCTCAGGCAGACGTGTAATCTTCGTAACGCGTCAGTCGAAGGTTCATATTCGGTGTAATCAAGAATGTGATTGTATACCAGCGGATCCCAAAAGTGGATGAGAGCTTCTAGTTTATCGGGTTTAGAAGATTCGACAGATCTCAGGAAGGTGTCTAGGGTACGAAATCGGTGATTTCAGCGTTCGACTTCATCTGCAGATCCATTGTGTCACAAGACAAGTAAACTGAATCGTCTAGAAGGTGTCCGGCAGCGAATTAGAAGAGAGTCTAAGTTATCGTTCTACTTGTCTAGGAACAAGCGTGGATGAGCTGAAATGTACGTAAAAAGATTCTATACTAGTGTATAGGGTGATTATAACAATAAGCAGACAATATTCATGGCATGAGTGTCAAAAACTCATGCTCATGTACCGTTCTCAGTACAAGTTTTCGCAAGTGAGATCAGTTCATGATACCACCATAACTTGCAACTGAACAAGCTCCCGCTCAAGTTGTTGTGATCTCTTAGGGGATCGAGTAGGGTGGGCAAGCGTAAACATCCCGTCTCGTTGCAATTAACATCCGTAGGCTCATTCGCGAAGGCTGACTAGTCCGCGCAGAACCCACTGGCTTTGACTGCAATACCTGCGGTTAACTTTGCCCGCACGGTCGTAGACACTTCGAAATTATTCTTCGACCCCCGACGCTCAGTTCTTCTGACAGTCTTCAACGTCTTCAACGCCTGTTTGGAGATGTTGCAAGATATGGCTGATATCGTTCACGTTCCTGTTGTCAGTTTCTATCCAGATTGCCTGAGTCAGTGTCTGGAGTTGCGTTGCATGCAGAATAATGGTGGTAGACTATGGCTAAGTCCCTTTCCAGTCCACTTTTCTTCTTTTTTCCACAGTTGGGGTTTCAAATAAATCATGGTTGTACGGCAGCGAAGCATCAGTGTTGAACACTGATGTCGTACTGTCAATGGTGATGGTAAAGGCGCCAGGTCATATGGTCCTCCCTGCCTGTGACCTCGCTTTTAACACAAACAGACAGCATTCAATCCATCTTTGGCGTTCAAACAGACAGAGATCAACTCACCGTTTGTGAGAATTATTCACCGACGTCTCAATACGAATTACATAGAGGAGACTATCAACCGCTATCCAGTCAAGCAACGAGCCTTCGCTCTCGCAACCACTCGTCTCGTCCTTTCATCTTTAGGCTTTATGTATAGTTAAAAAAAGCCTGTGGTTGTATCGCAGTGAAGCCTTGGTGTCATGACTGAAATGGCTGTTTTGTCAACGATGATTCTGTCGAAGATGACCATAAATGATGGATTCAATTTTTCAGTTGAGTCTGTTGATGCTATACTAGAACCCGAAAACTAGTTGTATGAACGAGAAAACGGAGAGTACTAACAATGTCTGCTTGTTGAGTAAAATTATTACAACAGGTATATATGCAAACAAGGGACTTATCGTTTTGCAGGTACAGTTTGATAAATCCTGTTGTAAGTCCGGATGCAGGTTTCGTGTCTTCTTCGCTGTTGTAACAGCCACACGTAGTCCTGGATATCCGTGAGTGAAGCGCCGCAAAGTCCTGAGTTGCTCTGCTCCGAGCTGGGCGACGTGCGAAGCTCTGTGGAGTTGTGTTGTGTCGCTGTGCTGTTATCCTATATGTAGGAACGTTTGCGTTTGTGTGGGTGTCAGCACATGACTTGTTGCCACCTTATCTGACGGTAGACAGTCGATGTCAGATGAGTCACCTTTGTGTGTCGTGATTTGTACGTGTAGGGTTGGGATCAAGGGCTTGACTGTGAGCTGTGCAGTCAAGTGAGTCACGATTCTGTGGCGTGATTTGTGAGTGTAAGAAAAAAAGACAGATCGTGATCTAGCTAGTGTTGGTGACCTGTACAGTCCTGTGTGTGGCGAAAGGGTAGCTACAAGTCTACGATTAAAACCAAATTGGGGTGCGAATAGGGGGCAAAGTGGTTCAGTGGTAAGAGCGCGAATCTACTGACCGGAAGGTCCGTAGTTCGAACCCGACCTCTGCCTCTCCATTTCCCTTGTCTTGGACAACCTGGCAGCACCCCAGCCCTCATGATTCCTTCTGGTGACATAGCGGTTAGGCACCGAAGAGGTATTACAGCTGTTAGGCAGAATTCCACACGGATCCCGCTTTGCCGCACGTCTTTAGGCGCTGCTACGGCCAGTAAGCCTGACCCGCACGAGATCGGTCAAGAATTCGGGACGCTTGCCGGTCCGGCATCAAGACGAGATCTGACTGGTCAGAAATCTGGACCCAACAGCCAATCGTGACCCAGTATTGGCCAAATGCCGGTTGCCAATGGCGCACCCAGAACGCCTCAGAACTTCCAGAAAGTTAACCGCTTACGCTATATATACGAAGCGCTGTGCAACTGTTCTCGACTTCGTTTTGGGCATTAATAGACCTTGGGCACCTTTGATGGTTGTTTTGACGTGAACGCTAGCTTGGGAGGCTCAGACCGTGAACTGAGCTGAGGAAAATACCGTTAATACAACAGCTGAACGGGGTGCAGGCCAGTGTGTTTCGCGAACCAGATAATTTTTTCCTAAACGATATTCGGTGTTCTTTCAGATCTTGTTTTAGGATTGGATATATATGCATGATCAAGAAAGTGCGTGTTTTTTGGAGGGGAATGTAGGTTGTCGAGTTTGGAGTGAGCGTTTTACCTGACAATAATGAATGCCAAATCGGTCGTGTTAGTTGGGGCTCCATTGGTTCATTGTATGAATTTACTGAAACCTTTAGTCGATGGTACGTCAGCACATTTTTGATTATAGACTACAACTGGGTCTGCGTGGATTCGTATATGAGTGCATAGATGTATGGCAATTAAGTACAATTGTGTGCATTTGATGTATTGTGGTTGATAATGGTGATATGTGCACGTTTAGCTGAACCCCAAGGGATACTTGGAGCCTTCTAGTCCATCAATTTCCAAAGAAGAACCACGGTGGGACTGAGATTTCGGCCTGTATTGATTGTAGTCCTTTCTTTCAAGTAGAACATAAGGTTGACGGAAACCCGGAAACTGCGCCTACCTGATGAGCCCCAACAAGGGCGAAACCGGTCGTGGGCTGTCGATGGATTTTTAGCAACCTTATGAGTAGTACATTACAAACAATCCTTTCTTTGTTGTGGTCCCCGAGACAATAGGTAGCCGAAGTGTCCGGAATTTATGAAAGCTGAAATATCTCGCATATGCAGGATAGTGTTGGGTTTTTACAAACCGCGATACAGTGCAATGTTTCAACATCTATATGGTGAAAGTACACACTGCTACGGTCCGATCCATACTTTCTATGCAGCATAGATTTTAGTCAGTGTTTAAAAATCTTTGTATATGGACATTCTGTCAGAAAGATTGAAGTTTCAGAGTTTTTTTTCGGAATGTACATTTTTCCCCGGGGGTAGACAGTCCGGTAATCGCGTAGGCTAAACCATGTCATCAGTGCCTCCAACGTGTAGATTTGGTTATAAAGGTGTCATAAAGGTGTAAGATCTCAATTTCCTAGACATGATGATTGTGTTCCACCGAGAAAGGCTTTTCACAGCATAGGTTTTGATAGCACCCTGAGCGATGGCTGCTGAGTTGCTAACGCGAACGTCGATAAGTCTAATGAAGGCGACCTCTCCCTTGTGCAATCTATTTGAGCGTCTTGTTCGCAGTTAGTCACACGAGGCTCATATGGCGCCCATAACCTGCGAACAGAAATAGACACACGAAGGTCGTGGCACTGTTGATCTGGGGTGGTTCGACTATTGTCACTCTGACCCCCCTAATAATGTCAAAATCGATTGTTCTATCATTATTGTTCATTCCGAGGACCATTCAATTAAGATTGCTTATTGTTTTGCCAATTTCACGGATCAGCTGCATTGGTTCTAGATACTCACCAGTCATTCACCGTAAATTCATCCCATTTAGGTTGTCACCTCTTACGTGGGATTTGGTGTCTGCGTTGTCATCGGCCTCTTATTCGCTATCCTGATGCCCTTGATTGGTCTGATTTTCTGCTGTGCCCGTTGTTGTGGCAGGTGCGGTGGTCGAGTGCACCAAATGGATGCAAAGAAAGATCCGTGTAGGCGAGTGGCCTACACCATTTGTGTTGTCATCATCGTTACGATTCAGCTGTGAGTTTTTCCGTATATTGTTGTGCTGTATATTGAGCGGAATGTCAATGAAGACATTCTAGTTCCTAGCATATCTCAACGTCCATTCAAAATGGTATAATAAAATACGAAACGCAGGCAGAAGCGATGTGATACAGTGCAAAAATGACTTCCTAGTTGATGACAATTTATTGATTCTCTTGAGACTCCACGTTTCTCTCGGCATTTCCTATGACTATAACCAACCCGCTTTTTAGAAGGAACTCCCGAATCACGCCATTGCCACACCTACTGGGCCAGGTTGGGGACGTTCCATCTGCATTGCATGGGTTGCAGAGGTATTCAGAATGTATCAAGGCGCTATAGTGTTGGAATATTACATCTCAATTCGGTTATCAGGTATGGAAGTTATCAGTATGTTGCTCAGCAAGCTGATGTGTGCAACAGCCGTTCGATTGTCATTGTATATTTCTACCTAACCTGGTGAATCTGCTTTTGGAATCATCGTAGATTCGCTTATTAGAGTATGTTACGGTTTACATCATTGCATCGCTCCATCTTGATCATCCATATCGAATCCCTTTTCAACACAGTTTCTCATTCACCATGCTGCTGTGTCGTTTCGCACATCTCATCACGCCATCCATATTACCCGTTTTGAACCATCTTGTGTTTCAAGCAGCAAACCCTGTGCTTTTCCCACGCAGACCTTTGGATCCAGTGCTTGTTTTTGACTTGGATGTATTTATCAGTCTGTTGGATAGTCTGAACCTCTGGAATTTTGTTCTCCATACCCTGCCATCCTCAAAACTACCCGCGCAACCAAAAAATAACTGCCTTTGATCACTCCACTTTGTTTTCCGTTTCATCAATTTAATCTTTTTCTTGGACGATATCTGCGCTTTAAAATTTTTCAGCGGTTAGGTGCCAACCCTAGCTCAGCGGACCAGTTGGCCCGCCTGATTGTTTCGGGGTATACAGCCTATTGGGTGTGTGTCGTTTATGCATTTGGTCATCTTTGAGTCGTTGTCTGTCGCCTACCTGACGGCAGAGGCTCAGCTAGGTGTGAATTCATCTGTCTGATGCTCTAAAAAACCTGTTCCAAAATGAGTGATTCTATGTTAAAAAGGAGTTTGGCTGTCGTTGAATTCTGGCGCAGTAGGGTTACACTCAATATCTACCAAATCATCTGTTGTGTCTTGCTGGTGGCGGTGCCACTTCTCTGTCGGTCTTACTACTCCGCCCATTATCCGAATGCACGGTAGCTTTAGACAGCACCTTATTGGAACAGAGGAAGATTGTTGGAAATGTATTTATGGGGTCATCACATGATGTTCCACAAGGTCGCGCTAGAACCTTCGTGAGAGAGCGAGAAACGCCCAGCTATAATGCTCGCTCTTACCAATTAGGACTTACCTTTTAGTCCGTAACCCTCCGGACATTATCGAAACACCACTGTCATTTCTTTTACCCTCTACGGGTCAGGTTACTGGTCATTCAGTATCAGGTATCCAACATGTACTGAGTGCACGTTGGCTGCAGTTCCAGCCACCGGAAAATGGGAGAGCTGGGAGATACAGTCGAGCACCGGAGACCTTTGCGTAAGCATTAATTTGCGTTGTATATTGCTCTGAGAGAACGAAAGACTGGGGAGCTACTTTGGGAAGGCGATGACTTTGATGCACAATCGCCGCTGACTGATCGTTTGAGCCATGTCTGCCAGTGCCGTTCACCGTTGCTAAATTGGGACGCCATCCAGGGAGGCCACAGTTGTAAACTCGGCTGAATTTATTGACAAATTTTTCTACAGTTCGTTGCCAAGTCATCTCGGACTTTTCCACTTGGCAAAGGGTTGGGAAAGAGAGCTTAGATAGGCAGACGACCTTCTGGCATGTGAAGTACATGTTGAATCGTGATTAGCTCATCTGTCGTGGGGATCTCCTTTTCCTAAAAATCATATGGATTACCTGAGCATTGCTACTCCGATGCTTCCACCAGACTCGCTGCACATGTCCTTTTTCACATGGTTTTGGTTGGTCTCTTCCGATGAGTTCGATACAGTCTCACCTTCCACAGAAATTGTTTTAGGTCACTTGTGGAGTAGGCTTTTACGCCTCCCACACCTTCCTGCTGGAGCAGATGGTTCATAAGGAACTGATCTGATTTTAAAACAGTCAAGACGTAGGTGTTATGGGATTCAACGGACATTGATAGGAAAGTCTCGTTGATGANTTCCGATGAGTCGATACAGTCTCACCTTCCACAGAAATTGTTTTAGGTCACTTGTGGAGTAGGCTTTTACGCCTCCCACACCTTCCTGCTGGAGCAGATGGTTCATAAGGAACTGATCTGATTTTAAAACAGTCAAGACGTAGGTGTTATGGGATTCAACGGACATTGATAGGAAAGTCTCGTTGATGACGAAAATTCAGCTGCTGCGCCTGCCTGATGAGCCTAAAAAGGGCAAGACCGGTCGTGGGCTTTCGAAAGGTTTTCAGCAACCTTATGAATAGTTTATAGCACTAGGTTCGTTTTGTTCACATTACCTGACTATGGGGCTGTTGTGCCACTGCAGGAAATTTGATAGTCGGTTTCTCCACTGTGTACATACAGATGTTTTCCCAAGTTGCCGAATCCCAGACTGGTTGGTCACTCGGTGGATAAACCTTGTAGACCGGTGTTTTTTAGGTAGATGGTTCAGGAATTGTTTCTCTACCGACTTTTATCTTACCCGCATGGTATCATCGGAAATCCCATTACATTGAATCTCGTTCACGAAAAAATAGTGGTCTAGCAATTAATAGACCGTCAACTTTGGATTTTTGTCAGTCAAACTTCTCTTTCCAGTATTGATTGATGTCAGCTAACCCCTAAGCACCAGTGGGGATTTTGCATTAGTTCTTTGAGTACTGAATTTTTTGGTTAGTACATACACGATTGACCGGTATTCCTTTGCCTTTCGCCCGCTTCCTCTGTTTAGCGTTGCGATCGTACTTGCTTTTATTAACCACTTCCTTCTGCACGAGGCGATGGTGAATCCAGACTCCCGCTTGGGCACTTTCAGCAAGTTGAATGAAAGCCTTGCTGACACTGAAAAAGCTTTGGACGATATGTATAAAGTAAGTCATTCCTGGTGAAATATGAAGCGGTTCTGTGTTGCTTAGCGACGATTTTCCAAATTTCATTCCTTCTTTGCAATGATTGCTATGCAATTTGGTCTGAAATTTTATCATTATATGTGCATTGTTCTAGGATATGCTTTTGACTAGTCCTGTGAATTTTGACGACCCAGAGGAGAGCCTTCCAGGTCGAACAGAAGACCATGGTTTTGTTCAGTTTTCTCGAGAGAGACTGGAAATCATTTGGAGCGCAGTTTTGAAAGGTCAAGTTCAATGGACGGTTTTTGCGCAGTGCCAGCCGAATATTGCTTTTGTGCTAACTAGGTACCTATATTTGAAATTTTTTTGAAGACGGGTGGTTATTTCTGTGTCCTCATATTCCCGCATTGTCGGCAACCACTGGATGAGCCCGCTTCACGGATACAAATGGCTGCCAGTAGGGTTTCTCGCGTCCCTCCACTACTGTTTGAAGCCGTTCACTAGAAGAATAATTTGGTTGGTCCGCAAGTTAGTCATCTTTGCAAATCCACCGAAAACATTGTCCATTTGCCACCGATTAACTCACTCAACCAGGTGCTGGAACAATGCGTTCGTCGTCGGAAAACTTCATTGGACACCGGTTGTTCTCTGGGATCAGAGCTCAATCAGTTTATGCAGGCATGCTTGCCGGAGAATACAACCGATTAATGTTGTACTCTCACCCGACTGAATCCATCTTTTTGGAACAATTAACCTGAAATCTAAACAACGAGACCAGAAATAAGCTGACCGTAAACGCGTGCCATTCAGGCACAAATAAGTCAGTTGAGGTCACAATGTGTTTCCAACTGAGGCTTGAATGATGGAAGCGAATAAGAGAGAACGACCTGGAAGTGGATTATAAAAATATCGGCGATTTACTTTCATGGTATGGTGAGTATTTCGTGTGTTTCCTTAATGGCAATGCACGAGTAACAGTGACTGGGCACCAGTGCAGGCTTTCCGGCTCCATGTTGAGTGGACTAGTTTGTAACCCGACTCAAACGTGCAACTGTTAGAAATCGAGAACTTGAGAAATTGGCACCATCCCTCTTGGCAACTAGGTTCTCGTTCTTCACAATGTTCTTTGGGCACCGTTTCTCACAAGAAAACGTAACGTACACTAGTAGGACGTACCTTTGGTGGCTTACAAAACTAATTGGAATCAAGCAGGATTGTGGATAGGGACTCGTCATTTTCGAGAAAGGTGTGGTCGGATACCTAGAAGTACAGCCGCGCTAGGCTTTTCTTTACTGGAGGTCATTAGCTAGGTGCAAGTGGACGGGCCACACGACTTTTTGGTAGACACCTATGGCCCGTTGCCCTCCGGAGCGGCCTTCCGCTGAACTGACCGCACAGTTGGTGATTTGTTTTTGCATGTGATTCTCTTCGCTACTGCTATAAACATCCGATTTAATTTCAAGCTCGCGGCTTAGGAAGTGTCAGAACAATGGCTCTTTAGGTGAAACAACCTGACTATTCATCTAAAGGCGGATAGTCTAATCGTTCAACTATTGTGGCTTTCTGTTCGGCAAGCTTCCAATCCACTGTTGTTTATATGTCGTGTGACCTAACGTTTCCCTCCCAGGGATACAATCAAACTTGCCGGCGGTTCACCACAGCTATTCAAATCAAAGAGCACTTGCACATCTTGTCGGTAGACAGCTTACATCCTGCTTATATCTCATCATCTTTTAACTCCTGTCCCACTTGATACTCATTCCTCCGTAGATTTCAGCTCTTGGCACCTCAGCCACCTAAAGAATCGACCAGCTGCACGCTCACGCTCATATGTACGCCCTTGCATCCGCGATACAAGCCTCGAGCTCCTGTTTTTATTGAAACCGTTAGTGTGCGAAACCCTGTAGAGGTGGGCCATGGAGGTGCCCTGGCGCGTACACTGGATGCCCTATCGATCGACACCTGTATCTGCGGGGTTTGAATACATGATCCAAGTGTAGCAATTGCGCGTACGACACCCTATGAACTACGATCTCTGTGTGATTCCTCAGCTGCTGCAGCGGGTTGCACTGGTTTTGGGGAAGCCCTCAGTTCGCGAACGGAGGCTTCATTACTCGACTGGATACTTTAAACATCTGACTTTGTATTGTCCAACTAACATGAAGACCCCACTGGTCGAAGTACTGAACGCTCTTTGTCGTGTCCATTTACTCACCAACTAACCATAGCGTCGATTCCTCGGTAGGCACACTTAAGGAGCCATCCGCCCTCCTGTCTACCATAAAGAGTTCATTTGTAATCATAACTGCAAGTTTGGGTACACATGTGAAGTGCTTCAACCGAGACACCCTTTGGTGGTATGTTTAGTCTGGACGCAAAACGCAGCGCCAGTGGTTAGCGTCGTTTGCATATTGTTTGTTGTTTCTCTGTAGTACTGGGTTTTAATGCAGTGGGTATCGTGCAACTTGGGTTGCCCTGCTTCCGAGCGAGCCCTTAAGCCAAATTGACCACCTAGCCATCAGCTACCGACGGCCTGACTCAGTCCTTGACTGCTGGTCGTTGTGAGATACACAGGTCGATTCATATCGTGCTCTCGTTCGGTGCATGTATTCATCACATTTACCCGGTAAGCATAAGAAACGAGCATCACGGTTAAGGGTAGGAAGTCTTCTTGATCCGCTGGTTAAGGGAACGTATCGATGCTTACCATGTAATGCATCACGGGGTGCCTCTCTTGGGAAGACATCTGGAATGAGATAACCTCCACTATACGTGACGCAGAAAACTAGTGTTTCCGAGAGCATACGCGGAAGCTACAAGATTCCAGACTGGTCTAAATCACTTCTTGATGATAGGTGCTCTCTCGGGGTTCAGAACATCATTAAGCGACAATTAGTTTTCAACTCCAACGTAGTCTGGGGCGAGATGGCCCAAGTGGTTAGAGCGCGAATTTACTGACCGGAAGGTCCCTGGTTCGAATCCCACCTTCGCCTCTCGACTTCCCCTGTCTAGGCTCGGGCAACCTGGCAGTATCCCGTGTGCTTCCTTCTGGTGACATGGCAGCTAGACACCGGAAGTGCTACAGCTGAACGCTTTTGGTCTGTGTGGACAGAGGCCTGGCGGGACCAGAAACTCCGAAGAATTGGAGAGGGTAGTGTAGTCAGGAACGTGGAGGCCGTTTCGTATGAATTGCGAAAGGGGACAGAATACTTCAGTGCGTCAGTGGAAGATCGGTATGTGGAATATTTTCAATACCGGTTTACTGGGATCCTGTGACTATTTTTTTATCAGATCCGTTCGTTTGCGTCGTGATTTGTATGTCCACATGCGCTAATATGAATTTCTACTTGAGGCGTCATCGGGCGCCATCTACCAGTGTTATCGGAAAGTGAATAGGAATCTTACGTTCCGCTTTGATTAGATTGTACTTATTTCGGAACGGTAGTTTGTTGCAGAGAATCGGCCTAATTGACGTTCGTACGCGTGCTCAGATCTGGCTCTTCATACCTATCGCAACCTGGACCTCGGCTTCACTAATATCGCGACGCCTAACTTGGACTCGTAAGACGCAAATCCGGCCATATTTTTACGTTACGCCAAGTGCTTGAGCAACATGAGGTATACGGCCATGGAACAATCAGGGATTTTTTTATATGAAAGGAGCCTGCGAGTGTGTGGATAGATTGGTTCTTTTAAATATGCTTGGTCTGGCAACAATTTTTTCACCACGACTCTGGTCGGGGTAGGGTTTACCATTCAAATGCCTGCTCACAACAAATGAAGTTCGTCAGGTCGCCAGTTTTTTCACAGACTATCGTGGGATACCCGCTCCAAGGGGCCATGAACCTAGGTATCGAAATCACGTCTGGAGAGAGATATGTGAACGTGGATTATGCGTAAGACATTATTTTGTTCCACCCACGAACTTCTGAACGGACTGTCAGTGTTCCCGTTTTTCGTCATGCATTATTCGGTTTCAGAGTGCACAGTCAAACTTCAGAATTTCGCTTGCTATTGTGCGTGTCATAGGCTTTATAATGAAGAGCCTGATTTAGGTGATCCGTTAACATATCATAGCAGGTGAGTCGTTTGTGGCGTCAGAGGTGAATTCCGGGGAAACAAAAGGGTGATGTTTACAAATCAACTACAAGAAGGGTCTTAGTTCAGTGGTTGGAAACTTCGATCCGAGGCCATAAGAAGGCCTCGTAGACGTCCCCGTTGTATAGCAAGGATTAGCTGGCGGCCGTATGTGCGTAACGAAGTGGTGCGTAAGCAGGTAGTCGCTTACGAATCAGTGTTTTTATAGCCGGAAACGGGTTTTGGCGAACTGTTCACCGGGAACAGGCTATGATATGACAAAATGAATGAGGATGGCAGCAGTCAAGTTGAGTGCTGTGGAACCGTGCCTTCCTGACGTGATCTTGCGTGCGCGTGGCTAGAAACCATGCAGGGCATTGTACTTCACCGATTTTGGTGGTATGTATGTTGTAATTTCGTGGATTCCGGAGTCATAAAATTTCGCTTTACGATTGTCGAACTTTGTCGTGTGAGTTTAACGATGCACACTGATTCAAACACTTATGACGCTCAGCTCATAATTTGTGAAAGGTCTACATACGGTCGTATTTGAGGTTGCCGTGCTTGTTGATGGTAGTATGAGAAGCTTTGGCTTACCAGGTCATACCCTAACCCACTCCTTGCCTTAATATTGCGGTTGAAGGTACTCGAAACACTGTCCTATTTTCCAATCTTCCGTATGGCTAGCCACGGGAACTTTCAGTTTGGATATATTTGCGATTCTGGATGTGGCGTCCTATCCCAAGTCACTTGTGCGACACGGTAAGACTCCTTCATGAGAACTCGTGAGAAATGACTAAATGATTAGACGAAGAGTGTATTTTTTAAGAAGTCGCCCTGGCATTCATTCCCCGGGAGCTTGGTTCGTCAAACGACTCAGCGAAAAATCGTAAATAAATATTTTTATGGTTTAAGGGAGTTTAGATGCGAATGTATAGCGACGG